TACCAATCTGGCTTTGTAAAGCTTGTTGCTATCATGTTCTTCCTTGATTCTGTAAACCCACTTGTTATGTAAAGCCTTCTTGCCCTTTGGTAGTTCAGTTAGCTCCCATGTCTGATTTAACATGAATGAGTCCATCTCATCCTACATAGCTGACTCCCACTTGGTTGAATCACTAACCTGCACTGCTTCATCATAACTCTCTGGTTTACCACCATCAGACAACAACAAATAGTGTAGAGAAGATGAGAAACACTGTGTAGGTTTGGAGACTCTGGAGGACCGTCTCAATGCAGTAATAGGTGTGCCTTGTTCCACCCATGAAACTATATTTTCAAAATTGTTCTGAACTTTCCTCTGCACATCTTCCTCGGAGATTTCCTCAAACTTAACAAACTCATCATTTTCAGCATGAGCACCTGCATTAGTAGAATCTGATGCTAACTTATCCTTATACATTACTTTCTCATTGACCACGACATCTCTGCTTCTAATTATCTTCCGGTTTTGATCATCCCAAAACTGATAAACAAGCTCATCAGTGCCATACCCAATAAAAGTACATTTTTTTTTACTTTGGATCAAGCTTGCTTTAAGCAACAAAACTTATATGTACATATGAAACACAGCCAAACACTTTCAGATGTGAAAGATTTACCTCTTTTTTGTTCCAAGCCTCCTCTGGTAAGCCTCCATCCAAAGGAACAGAAGGTCCCCGATTGATCAAGTATGCTGCAGTGCTAACTACATCAGCCCAAAACTTCTTAGGCAATCCAGCATGTATCCTCATACTCCGAGCATGCTCATTTAAGGTTCTGTTCATGCGTTCTGCAACCCCATTCTGTTGCGGGGTTTAAGTCTTCTCCATTTTGATCCCATTAACAGCACAGAACTCTTTAAAGCATATGTCTTCATACTCACCACCATTATCAAACCTTAAACACTTCACCTTCAAGACTGTCTCATTCTCCACCATGGTCTTCCACTTCTTAAAAGTATCATATACTTCAGATTTATTTTTCAAAAAAAAAAATCTATACCTTTCTCATAGAATCATCGATAAATGTAGCATAATACAATAAGCCGCCAAGAGATAAAACTGGAGAAAACCCCACACGTCTGTATGAACCAACTCTAATTTCTCTGTCTTAGGTGTCCTGCCAACCTTTGAAAAACTGACCCTCTTCTCACTCAAACCAATTTCAATTGATTTAATACCCGACAGTTTTCCTTTCGACAGAAGTACCTTCATCCCCTTCTCACTCATATGACCTAGTCTACAATGCCACAAGTTTGAATCTACGCCAGTATTAGCAACAACAATGGCGTTCTTGGTTTTTGTGTCATGTATAGAGTACCTGTCTTGCTTTCACGAGCTACGACCAAGGATCCCTTGGTGATTTTCCACACGCCACTTACAAAATTAACCGTGTGCCCATCGTCATCAAGTTATCCCACAGAGATCAAATTTCTCTTCAAGCCATGAACATGCCTCATATTCTGAATCTTCCATACAGCCCCATTAGGTTGCCTGATCCGAACATCACCTTTACCCACAATATTCAAAGGCTCATCATCAGCCAGATAAACCTTTATGAAATCACCACTAACATAGTTCTCCATAATTTCACGATAAAGGGTAAAGTGAAAGGATGCACCTGAATCTAGAACCCAAAACTCAACTGGACTATCTACACTCAAAATCAGAGCATCAACAATCTTTTCTTTGACGGCGTTTACAGATTCCTGTTTTCCTTCGCTCTTCTTCTTTGGTGCTCAACACTCAAACCTTAAATGCCCCCTCTTTTTTTCCACAGTTCCAGCAGGTTCTAATTTTCGACTTGCTCCTATATTTGGATTTGGATTTACTGCGATCCAAGTCTAATCTTTCAGAAGTTCTTCCTCTGCTCTCGGTATTGAAAATAGATCCAGATGATTCCCATGTTTCCCTTCTGCGAATATCTTCGCTAAGGATCAAGTCCCGAATATCATCAAACTTCAATTTTCTTTTTTCTGAAGAACTACTCACTGCTATAACAATACCGTTCCAGCTTTCTAGTAAAGAGGATAAGAGAAGCAGCGCCTTAATCTCATCATCAAACTCGATCTTTACAAAGCTTAACTGAGTCGTAACAATGTTAAACTCGTTCAGATGGTCAGTCATTGAAGCGCCTTCTGACATTCTCAGGTTGAATCATTGTCGTATCAAATATACCTTGTAAGACGCAGTGAGTTTCTCATACATATTTGAAAGGGCAGTCATCAAACCTGCTGTTGTCGTCTCCTTTGCTATGTTGAAGGTAATGTGCGACAGTGTCAATCGAATAACCCCTAGTGCCTGCCGATCAAGAAGAGCCCAATCATCATCCTATATCTCTTCTGGTTTCTCTCAAGAAAGAAGCTGATACAACTTCTTCTGATACAGATAATCCTCAATCTGCATCTTACAGAACCTAAAATCTACACCATTGAACTTGTCGATCTTGATCTTTCCTTCTTCTGTACCCATCGCTCCCACTCGAACCTAATGGCTCTGATACCAGTTGTTGCGAAATCAAACAGAAAACATAAGAAATAGATCAAACACACACATAACAAGAACACACAGATTTTGCTTGGTTCATCCAAAATTCAGGGCTATGTCCAAGGGTTGCTGAGATTTCACTGTGATGATAAAAAACCGGCAGCAGATACAGAGAGTTGAACATAAATAAATACCCACGCACTAGGGCAACATAACAAGTGCGGAAATTAACAACGCAGAGTTGGGACTTGATGTATAGTATCTATCAAGCTCCATATTACCCATCAATGGGGGCTCCATGTATATTTCTTTTATTCTATCAATACAAGCTTACCCTTGACTGAAAAAATAAATAAATAAATAAAAACAACAAACCTATCTTTTTCCTTTATGTTTTCCTAGTCTTAGAAATCCTCCAAAAAAAAAAAAAAAAAAAATCAAACATTTACCTTTTTAATATTAATCCAATGCAGTAACTATTAGTAGCCATAAATAAATAATTAACAATGTTATCAATGATCCACTGAGCCATTAGTCCAACCAGTAAAACTCTCCTCCTTCAAAGGAGGTGAGGGATTCAACTATTCGAGCCTCATAGTCCCCATTGGTAAATGTTACTAATATACATTATATATCAACGGAAAAATAAACTTTGTATGATAAAACAGAATAATCCCAAACAGCATTGGAACATTAGGGAAGCATAGATCGAGGTTAAGGTAGAGTTTTGGTTGATGCTACAGTGATAGAGAATTATAGAAGCGTAAGAAGATAAAAACTATTGGTCATTTAGTCCTTCTAAGGCTCAAGTCCTTTCTGGTGGAGATACATTCTTAATGTTTAGTTATGTATCTGAACATTATTTATAGCAAGATTATGATAACAAATCGCGAATATTATTACTAGTCAATTTTGTTTCCAGGTAAAGTATTTTCCTCAGAAAATATTTTTTTTTAAGGTGAAATATTTTCTTTTTTAAGGTAAAATAATTTTGTCAAAGGCATAGATCGAGGATAAGGTAGAGTCCATCAGGTTTGGTAGGTCAAATAACTTACTGAAAATTGATGAATAAATTATTTTTGTTAGGTTTTAATATTTGTTTTTTTCTTCAAAAATATTTTATAACAACCAAACACCAAAAAAAATAAAAATATATATATTTTAAATTTTAAATTTTAAAATATTTTACATCTTAACAAACATAGCCTTCTTATTTAATGTTTGAGTCATAGCTAGATGCTGGGTCAACAAAATAAAAATAAAAATAAAAAATAAAAATAAAAAGTGATAAATAAGGAAATTAAGGTGACTCAATTTATTCCAAAAAAAGTTATTATCCTTATTTATCACTTTACCTAATTTTGTAATTAGGGATTATTTGTGTCCTTTTGATTGGACCACATTGGCCTTTAATCTATGATACTTGGGTTGTTATTGTGTCTTACCGATTGTCCAAATTAATGACTTCTCTTGTTCTTTAATGCTCTGGTAAGGAGAAAAAAATTGAATGTTCTCTCTTTTTGTTTTTGATTTGTAGGATAAAATAAATGATAAATTTTTAAATTGTTTTTACCATTTAATCCATCCCTTACTTTATTTATGAGATTTATTAAATATTTATGAAGGGTGGTTTAGTAATTTAAAATTCTATAAGGCGGATGAAAATTTGTGGAGGAAGAAGGATGACTCATCCTTCCTATTATCGCTCTTTTTGATAGAAAGAAAGAAGATGGGTGGAGGAAGAAACAAATTTCATTGTTTGATAGAGATGGGATGAGAGAGGGGTGTATATATATTATATAGTTAGCATATTTTAGTAATAATGTAAAAATAAATAAATATTTAAGCCAAAAAAAAAAGGATAAAAAATAAATAAATAAAGGGTACAGTGTCCCTCTAATACATAAACCGAATTGTTAGGGTTTCTACCCCAAACTTGTGGGGGTCATTTTTCCTTCCCCACTGCCTTGTTTAAACTCCCTCAAACTCAACTCACATGACAAAACAAATTACCATTCCTAAATTTAGTAAATTCACAATATCATGAAATGTTTTTCTTATAGGATCGATGACACTCAAGGTGTGATAAAATAAATAAATAAATAAAATGCAGCAAATATAAAATAAAACTGATATAAATATGCAGCAGCATCACATTAAGGGGCAAAAAGTGCTTGCCAACAATTGCCTACAATATAGTTATTGTGTTATAAACACCACAATAACCATAGCTATAATGTATGTATAACAAACTACGTGGGAAGACCCCAAAATATACAATTCGAGGAATACCCTTATTTTGTTACATCTAATCCACAACTTCTAATATATAACAGCTGCTGCTACAAACAGCTCACAGTTGATCAACAACAACACGAAACCTAAGAAAGGGAAATACACAGAGGACCAACACACACACACACACACACAAGACCGACCAACACCTTGTTATGAGAGACATTTCAAGTGTAGATAGATTTTACATGGACAAACGATGCCTGTTTCCTTTTAGTTTCGCCAACACCCTTTTTCCGTGAGGATGGCTGTGCAGCTGGCTGTACTGACTCTGAATCTCACTCACCATTCTGTGGCGCAACGGTCCCTGCAAAACAGTGTGAAAACAAGGAAAATCATGTCATTGGAGTTTTTATAGAGGTGGTCCAAAAGATGTGTGAGTTTCTGCAACATCTTAAATTTCTTTCAGGGTGATGATGGGTGTTGTAAAGAAAGAAATATCTTGTAAAATAATGCAGAGAATGTGTAAATGGTCGAACCTTAGATATTTCCAGCGCGCATTGAGCCACATAGTTCCCGTAAGGATCCTGAAGAACTGACAAAAATTGTTTGCTCTCGATAATCTCATTAATAATTCGTACCGCATTCTCTTCGCCAGTCTCTCTCAAACACTTCTCTACCACATTGCTGCTAAACTTGTTCATGGAGAGAGTGGCAAAATTCCCTTGAAGCTGTGCCAAAACCTCTCCTTTAACAAGTGGATCTTCCCTTCCCAGTAAGTACTGTACAACATAGTTACTGAAAAGGGAAAAACAATTAATCAAAGAGAGGGATAGTTGTTCAAGTTATAAAAAGGAATGACCAATTGGCCAATTGGCCTAGCGGTATCAGGCCTCTACTTTCCAAGGTTTAAACTTCAGTGAAGGTATGTGTGTGTGAGTACCAACTAAGAAAAGAAAAAAAAAAAAAAAAAAAGTTATAAAAGGAATGATTAGAAAACGTAACATTTTCTCCTATTGATATTTAGTAGTAGAATCACACACACACACACATATATAGCTTTCTCCTGTGGCTATTTAATAGAAACATATCTCTTCTTGTATGGCTATTTAATATAAGAATGACCCTGGGAAGGGTCACTTGTCCCTCAAATCAGACGGAAAACACACACACACACAAATTAGAAGAACTGCAAATTAGAAGAAGGCCAACCCTTTTACTTTGATTACATTAGGAAAAGGAACGATCCATAACTGATGCAAGAACAATCAAATATTGTTCAAAATATGGTAGAAATAGTTTATCTATCTTATCTTATTGCAAGATATGGGATGATGCTACAATACCCAAAAGGTCCTTTGGAGCCTAAGCACACGCCGAGGCGCACCCCTGAGTAAAGTGAGGCGCACAATTGAATTTTTAAATTACCATAAAAGCATTCATATCTCATAAGTCGTATAATATCAAATATAAAAAAGTAAATCCATCAACCATATAAGCATGAATCATAAAACAAAGAACAAATTTGTTTTCTTGAAAGGCAAAATAGAATTTGTTTTTTTGAATGGAAAAACAAAACACAAAAAGAAATAAATCTATTAACCAAAAAAAAAAGAACAGAGTCCAAAAAAAAAATGATGGAGAGACAAAAGAAGTAGATGAAGTGAGAGAAGTAGATGAGAGAGAGAAAGTGCGATGAAAAAGGTAGGAAAAACAGAGCACCAAAAAAAGAAAAAGACAGAGAGAGAGAGAAAACTAAACGAAGAGAGATAAACAAGCAAAGATGAAATGAGAGAGAAGTAGAGGAGAAGAGAGAGAAGAAAGAACTGACATGGCTTCATCGTTTGTCTCTGCAACTAGGGTTTTGTCTCACTCTTTCTTATTTGTTTATTCTTTTGAACAAAAGTTCCTTCTTTCATAAACTTAGGCTTTCTTATTAGTTTATTAAGTTTCCAAAAGTATCCTTTTGGCTTAAGAAATATAATAATTATTTGAAAAAAAAAAAAAACAATGAGGCGCACCTAGGCGTAACTTAACAAATAGGACGAGGCGCAATCAAAGCCCCTTAGTAAACATCAATGAGTCTAGGATGACAACAAACGCTAGACTTGCGCCTCGAACCTAAGCACGCCTTTAACAACAATGGTTTTTAGTGTCCAACAAAGTCTCTGTCTCAGAGATAGATAATATAGACTCTCTCCTCTTAAAGTGCTTATCTCATTGATTGTCATATCAGTTGGTTTTTGTTTCCCATCGAGACTAATATAAATCATTTTTCTTTGGTTTCAGATGGATAAATGAAGGGATATATGAAGAGATTTACCCAAAAGGATCTTCCGATAGGACCAATGCATTTGCAGTGATATCAGCCACAAGGCGCTCCTTAGGTTCTCCCTGAGCAAGATCCAGACAATTTTGCAGTACACAACAACCACTTCTGTCCGTCGCAATATCCATACAGTTATCAGCAATTACATCCAAAATATGCTGCAAAAAAAAACAGAGATATTGACATGATGTTAAGTAATGTGCTCATGTAAACATGGTATTAAGCAATGTGTTACTATTTTATTGATGCTAAAAAAAGTTCCAACAGAGAAAACTAGTCAAGTATAAAGTTTTTCCTATTCTATATAAATTCTTTCTCAACAACTACTTTGCATTGAGTTTAAATATTATATGTGCTTGGCAGTGTTAAACTGCCATTAAAATATTCATATCTCATAAGTCATATCAATATTCTAAAAATTAATATCAAATATAAAAAAGTAAAACCATCAACTAAACAAGCATCTAACTATCATAAAACATAGCACAAATTTGTTTTTTTGAAAGGCAAAGCATAATTTATTTATTTTAATGGCAAAAGAGAGAGAGAGAGAGAGAGAAAAAATAATAATAATAAAAGCAAAAATAGAAGACCCAAAAAAAAGAAGAGAATTAGACGAAAAGAGAGATGCCAACAAAAATAAAAAGAGAGGAGTAGAGGCGAAGAGAGAGAAGAAGAAAGAACTAACTTATTTGTTTACTTTTTGACGTTTGAGCTTTCTTATTTTTTTATTAAGTTGTCAAAGTGTCTTTTTTGGTTTAAGATATAAAATAATCATAGTTCTTAGAAAAAAATCAGCGAGGCGCACCTGGCAAATAGGGACGAGACGCGCACCTAGTAAATAGCAGGCAGCTCAAACCTAGACGCGCCTTTAACAACACTGGTAATTGATGATTGCACATATACAATTTATATACCTAGATATATTACCATCCTAATCCCACAACTACTCAACCCTATTAACCTACCATTACCCCGACCAGACCACCATGACAAGATCTCTTGGTTACCTTATCACCAACCTTCACTACTCCCTTGGACTCATCTATCCTGGTTTTCTCATGACATTCCCAAGCATAATTTTATCTTATGGGTTGCTATTTTGCACAAGTTGCCCACCTACGATCGCAAATAAGTAGCCATTGGCATACAACAAACCTGTGTAGCTAACCTCTGCTCTTCACACCCTGAGTCCCATGATCACCTTTTCTTCAGATGTTCATTTATATCGCTCTTGTGGAACTTTCTTCAAACACGTTGTGTTCTATTCTCGGCCTTCTTCATGCAGTGAGTTCATTAATTGGACAAGCCAAATCTGGAGGGATAGGAATGATCCCAGAAACATTGTTCGCAAGCTCTAGTATATTACATCTGGATGGAACTCAATCGAAGATACTTCAGAGGTTCCTCTCTCTCAGCTAATGCATTGCCAAATCGACTCGAACCCTCACTGTTGTTCGGCAATAGCTTTCTTTTCACTGAATAATGCCATAACAGCAACTTTTTTCCATGCACATTAGGGTCGAAAAGTGAAGAGAAGCAATTCACAGAAGATCAAATTTTGTGGATGTTACAGTGATAACATCCCGTGAATTATGTTTGTTCTATAAATAAGCACAACGTGAATGATCATATTTGAGCTCTAACTTTGTGTATATGTGTGTGCATATATATATATATATATATATATATAACTAATACTTGATGTAACAATGATCATAAAATTTCTTACACAATATATATGTGATTAAATATTTTCATTATACTTGAAATTTTCTATCTATTTGTATTTAGTTCGCAGTGAAGTAGTAAAATGCTCGAGCTGTCAAGTGTAAGAAAATTTATATTCAAAATTTGTTAGCTCCAACTATTGACTAGTTGGAAAATATGCAATGAAAACCAGTCATGAAATAAGTATTTTTCGTCAAAATTGCAGCAGAATAAAGGACACAGAAATATATATAAAGCCAAAAATGCATAATGTCCAAAGGCAATTAAGTTTGAAACATATATATATATATACCTTGGTATGTTCATCAGGGAATAACTCCAAGCAACGGTGAACCACATGGTTACCACTCATACTCTTCATCAGTGTAACTGTGATGCGCCTGAGAACTGTTATCACTAGAGATACCTGCTCTTGAGTCCTCAGATGCCCAAGCAATTTCTGCACAGCTCGAGTTCTATATATATATATATATATAAATATATTGTTACACTAAAATCTACATGATCATAGTTAAATTAGTATTGTGAATGATTAACAAAGAATTGAATCACCACCATACCCATGTGTATCAAGACATATAGTCCTAAACTGACACTCGTTGCGAATCACGGAGACAAGTATCTGAGTAATCTGTTGTTCATTGCAAACCTCAAAAAACTTCTGCATGAAGTAATTCCCAAAATTGTCCTTCATGAGGTCTGTGACATAATCTTTCACCTCCAAGAAAATCATCTGGATGTCGTCAGGATTCCCCTCCTCAAACTTCTTCTGCAGCCAGCGGCAGCCCTGCTGGTTCTTTGCCATCTCCAAAACCCTACCTTTCAGCTCCTCCAGCGACACCACCGACCCCCATTGACTCAGCTGACACTGCCTTGACCTATAAAGAGGGCTATTATCATACACAGCTTGCGAATTCTCGGTCTCAAAGCCATTCATGGACCTCCTCCTCTGCTGAAATCCCGAATCAAGCACCAAGGAATTATTATTCCTATTATTTACATTTCTTGAAACCCCATGTCTCAAAGCATCGCCTTCATTGTTCGGCAATCCATGAGCAAAACCATCATTTGATAAACCGTTCCCTCCGTAATTTTGTGCTTCATAGTCATAACCATTTCCTCCATTGTTTGGTAATGCAAAACTAGTATTTCCTCCATTGTTTGGTAATATTCCCTGAGCAAAACCATTGCCTCCATGATTTTGCCATTCATAACTTAAACCATTGCCTCCATTGTTTGGTAATATTCCCTGAGCAAAACCATTGCCTCCATGATTTTGCCATTCGTAAGTACTAAAACCATTGCCTCCATTGTTTGGTAATATTCTGTAACTGACTCCATTGTTTGGTAGTCCTCCATAATCACCAAAACCACCATTGCCTCCATTGTTTGTGCTGTGATTGATCAGATCGAAACGAGCCGCCTCATCTCTTGGCAATGGAAGATGATTGTAGGATTGAGGATTCATACCACTCACAGCATATTGAACTCTTAGCCTCTGCAAATCCATTTCAGTAATGTTGTGCTGTGACTGTGGATACAGATTAGTGAAAAGCTCTCTGCCGATCGAGTGGTTCCAGAGGAGAGAAGATGAGTTCACAGCCGGAGATCGGAGAGATGACTGGTCGTCCGAGAGGGTCATACAAGAGAATTCGTCACCAAGAAAAGATGGGTCCCGGACAAAATCACGAAAACTAGGGTTTACAGGAACAACATTAGGGTTTGGGGAGACGGTGATGTGATTCATACTCCTATAGTGATCAAGATTGGGAATATTGGATTCCGGCATAGGGAGCATTGAGGGATAGATTTCACGGCGGGATCTGGGAATATTGGGGTGGTTTTCCGGCGAAGGGTGGTTCGACGGCTGAGCGAGCGCAGAGGGGAAGCTGTCACGGCGGGATCTTGGTATGCTGAGATGGTTTCCCGGCGCCTGACGGTGGTTTTCCGGCGAGGGTTGTGTCGGCAGGCGGTGGTTTCCCGACTGACCGTGCCAGAAAAAGTCTTGACGGAGCGAGCTGGGTATGCTGCGATGGTTTTCCGGCAAAGGGTGGTGGTTTTCTTGGATTGCGGTGTGGTTTTCCGACGAGGATGGGTGAGTAGAAGAACTACTAGGGTTTTTGGGGTCGCGGCGTTCAAGATTGTCGCCTAGTTTCTGCTTCTCCATTGGTATCGTAACTGAAGATTTGGAGAGAGAGAGGGGAAACGGATTTGTGAGTTGAAGAGATTGGGGTAGGGGTTTAAAGTGGGGTTTTAAATAGATTTTCTTGGCATTATAATGGTGGAGAGAGAGAGAGGACTAGAGAGAGAAAGAGGGGTCAGTTGGTCTTTCGGGAGCAAAAGGGTATATATATATATACATATATATGGCATCAACAGATTTTAGAGAGAGAAATTAGGAGATCTAGAGAGAGAAAGAGAGGATTGTTTGCGTGAAAAGAGGGATGCTTGCTTAGGGTTTCCGTACTATAGAGAGTACAAGCGTTTTCATCGTCTATCTTCTTCTTCATGCATGCATGCATGCTTTGTATTATTATTATTATTATTATTATTATTATTATTATTCACATATACAGTGTATATATATCGTGTGGTTTAAGAGGTGTTTGAGTGGTTTAAGCGTGTGCGACTGTTTGTTATTGGTGTTTGTATGTTTAATTGTCTCTTGATGTGCTCAATTACATATCATCTGTATGTTAATCGTAAAAATAATGTTTTGTTCATGGTGAATTATTATTCAGGCCTAAAACAATTAGTGATGGGTTAATAATATGCAGTTAGTTAGATAAGTGGGAATCATGAATCCTACTGTGAAACATATCTAATATTTATCTTTTAGGTCTGAATTATCGATTCAATTTTTAAATTTTTTAATTAATACATAGTTGAATCCCGGTAAAATATTATCACATGGTACCAATCAATGTGTACGGACAGCATGATGAGGATTAAAATTAACTAAAAAAAAGATTTGATGTGATTTTATACCAAAAAGGAAATTTGAAATTTTTAATATTTTGATCAGGTAAGTATTAACACATACTTTTATTTAGGTCCGACCTTATATATAAGGAAGGCGCAACATATATACTTTTATTTATATATATATATATAATATTCTAAACTTCTCGATTTTTTCAATTAGAAATTAAGTTGGATATGTAATGATTGCAATTAAATGATGATGATAATAGCAAGAAACAAACTTGTGTTAAATCACTAAATCTGAACTTATTTTCTATAATAATTTCATTTTCACTTGCGGTGTATGCGCATAGAGCATGGATTTTGGTGATGAGAAGATATTTAGGGCATTTGCAAATACTCCTATATTTTAGACCAATCTTTCAATTAATATAATGGCCTTGACATGATTTTGGGGGAGTTTTTAAGTGAAATTTAATATAGAGATGAAATTTTCTCGAGATTTGTATTTGACATGCAATTTGGACAAATCAACCCGAACCTAACTCATTTGGACTAAATTCGAGGTATCACAACGTGGTAGATATTGTGGGCTCACATCAACATCTTCTAACACAATTAGAGTAAGGGTGCCCAAGAATACAATTCTCTCCAATTTTGGTTCCATTCAATTTAGTGATTTATCTTAAAAAATAATAAAATTCTCTCTAGTTTTGGTTCCATTCAATTAGTGATTTATTTTACAAAAATGTTGTGAAGTGGGTGAAGATCACATCAATTTTGTAGGTTCAGTATTCTACAAAGAGAATTAGAATTTGTGTGCCCGCGCCGTTAGTAATATAATAATACTAGTTTCTTAATAAATGAGATCCATGTTAATTATGTGACATTGACACGTAAGCAAGCGTGTAAACTTTACGTCATCTTTATTCTACTTTTTACTTATATGTCAATTGATGATTACTTTTTACCTACGTGTCAATTGATGATTAGTTCCGACCAATAATAATTTCTCCTGGTATTGGGACTTGTAAATTGGTGAAGTATGGGACCCATGATGTGGGTGAGCCCAGCTCACCAATGTTTACAAAATAACAAACGCTCTTATATTAACCCCAAAATAAATAAAGCAATGCTTGAATCCTGCCCTAGGACAAGTTTTGTCCTCCATCCTGATGTGGCCCTATGAAAATTTAACACTTGTCCAAAAAAATAAAAAATGGATCATATCGGATCAAATTGGTTACCCAGCTCACCAATGTTTACAACCAACAGATTAGGGGTGATCATGGATCGAATCGGTTCGATTTGGGATAAAGTTCAATCCAAATCGCTCCTCACGGATTGGAAAAATTTGAAACCGAACCAATCTGTGGGACCTTCAATTCAAACCAAACAAATTCGTGAAATAACGGATCGAGTCGGATCGGTTTAGGCGGATTGGGCTTTTCAAATAGTCCAATATAATTAGACTTTATGGTCCATTAAAATCTTAAATTAGTAATTAAAAACTTGTAATTAAAATTAGAAAAATAAAATAAATTTGTAAATCATATAGCAGGAAACATGCTAGCAGTAATAGCAATAAAATTTGTAAATCATATATCAAATAACATCAATAGATTTGTAAATTATGTACTTAATAATAGGCAATATAAATTATCCAAATAGAATAATGAATAAAAAAATAGTAATATAAATTATATTACTCAATATTGTATATTGTATATATATAGTTATATATATATATAATATATTAATATATTATTTAGGCAACTGTTCCCAAAATAGATGGGGCAATGCTTGGATCTGCCTTTTGTCCTCCATCTTGATGTGACCCTATGAAAACTTGACACCTGTCCAAAAAAAAATAAAAAATTGGATCATATCGGATCAAATTGGTTACCCGATAGAATCCATGAGACAAACCTCTTTTCTTTCTCCTTCAATCCTTCCTGTCTTCTTCACTAACCCTTTTTACTTCTAAGGCCAAAAAGAAAAACGAAACCCTTACTCTAATTCCTGTCTAATTGCAAGACTACCATTTTGATACCTGAAGCAAAATTGAGAGATCTAGATGGGGCTTTCGAGAGATTGTTGTCGCTGAACGGAACAAACTCGAATTTGGACTCGAATGGGTTTTCCCGGAGAAAGAGGCCAAAGGGTGGAGGAGAGAGAAACGAGAGGCGGAGATGAGAGAGAACCAGTATTTGGACATAGACTCAACCAGTTCAGAGACCTAACGGGCGTAAAGACGAGGATCTCCGTCCAGAGGTCATCGTTGCAGGCGATTGTGGCGGCGGCTAACCATTGCGAAGAAGAGAGAGGAAGGGCTGAAGGAGAGAGAAAATGGGTTTGTCTGATGAATTCTAACCGGTTAACCAATTTGATCCAATATGATCCATTTTTTATTTTTTTGGATAGGTGTCTAGTTTTCATAAGGCCATGTCTTGATAGGGCAGGATTCAAACATTGCTCAAATAAATGTTCCTTTTAAGAGCATAATTTTTATTATTTTTGTAAAATAATTCACTAACTGAATGAGAAACTGCACGGAACTGCACCACTTTTTCAATGAAGAGAATTTGAATTTGGAATATTATTTATACGGAGTAATATAATAATAACAGTTCCTTAATAAATGAAATCTATGGACATCTATGACATTTGTGCCTCTCTATAGTTTGAGCACGGTACAGACGAAGGTATTAGGTAAGGTAAATTTGTGCATCAGGTTCATCTGAGACGTACATGCACAACACAATACATGTTCGCACATATCCCACCTTTGTAAATATAAAGGGCCACTTGGTGTGTGTGTATATATATTACTATTATATATCAGAGCATTCGGGATTGAGGCTTACAAATTGGTAAAGTGTGAAACCCACCATGTGACGTGTTTAGAACATTCAGATGCTCTAATATTATAATCCCTCTTTCTCCCAAAAAAAAAAAAAAAAAAAAAATTGTCCATTTTTTAAAACACAACTTTTTTATGCATAGTTTTTAATATTTTTTTTATTATAGTGATAGTGAATAAATTTTCACATATCCTTTTCTCCAATGGATCACATACTTTAATAATTTTAAGGAATTAGAAATATTTTTTTAAAAAAAAAAATAGTACATTAAAATTTGAATTGTGACAATTATTTTGAGACAACCAAAAATAAAAAATGCACATTATTAGATTCATTCATTGTTCATGCTATAATTTTTTTTTTTCTTTTTTGTTATTTTCCCTAGCAACCAAAAGTATTTTATTAATTCAGACCTTCAGAGCAATAATCAGTTAGTTGTATTTCCATGTTCTTGGAAGTTTGGAATCCCATAATAAGAGTTCGGAAATTTTAAAAATTCAAGACATGCCACATGACACAACTTTTTCATAATTTGTCAGATGTACAAGACACAAGTGCAATGGAATCTCCCAAATGCAATTTCACTCCTACCCTAAATCAGGGGCGGGGACAGGAATTTGGTTAGAGGGAATATTAATATATGATAAAATAAATTTCTCAAAATAAATAATAAAAAAAAAAAAAAGAAAGAAAGAAAAACAAATGGGAGAAATTTGAAGGGAAAAAATTAGGGTTTAATTGACGAAAGAAAATACAAATTTTTTGAAGAGAAAAAAATAATTTAAAAAAATGAGGGGGCATGCTGGCTCCATCCATGCCCTAAATAATGGACCATTCAAGCTTGGTTTACTTCACTTTAGGCCAGTCTCCAGCTTGGCCCAGCTTATCAAATTTGGCTCATACACTTTGTGAGTTCAGGTTATAACAAGTTACAGCTTTGGCATAGTATATATGGCTTGAATTACTTCAACAAAATACAAAAATAAATAAATAAATAAAAATAACTTTTTATTAAACAACATGGGGTCAATAATGAGGCATGGCCGTGTTTCACTAAGTAGGTAATACACCACTACACCCCAATGGACATAGCTTCAGAACAAATATAAATCTATCTAAACAAGAAAATCAAAATTTTTAAGCAATGCTCATTACAAGAAATTGAAAACAGGGGCACAACTTGAGTTCACTGTAGTTCCAGCTTAGCTGAATTAGAGACACTGACCTGAGATCTCAGTTTCGGGTAGAGCTCGTTCACTGATGAATGAAGGAAGATATTCTACAGAGTAGGGAGGGGAAGGTCAATTTGAAGACCGAGCTCGTTTACCTCACTTTCCAAGTTGCCAAAACATCCAAATGCTCAGTAGACACAGGAGTATAGTAAGATTCTGCCTCTACATAGCACTGGCAACAATGCTTATCTAGAAACTTAGCAGCGATTGTCCACAATCTTTAATAAGCTAAGAAGCTTGTTACTAACAGCAACATCAGCCATGGTTTTGAGCAAAGCTTGGAACTGCAAAAAGATTCGTCACATGATTATCAAGGAGAAAACAAACTTGTTTGGCATTAGAAGAAGAAGAAAGGATGTGAAAATTTTCCAATTACAGGATGAACTAACTATACACAGTGGAACTCACTCACTCAGTTGTTGAAAACCCCCAACTTCGACAATTTGACTCAGAATTTCAGCTTTAATTACAAACCATTAACTCCTTATCAAGCTATAAGTAAGTTAGATCTTCAATTCATTATGGAGTGCATTAGTCTATTGTGTCTATTGTGTCTAATTGCTAGTTTAATTCAGGAAGAAAAATAAAATAAAATTAAAAAATTTCTAGTTTATACTTTATACTCTCGGTATAATGTTACTAACTTGTTAAACTTTCAATTCTATGAGCAGATGATACTGCCGTGCTATGGGAAGTCAAGTTCTACAATGATTTGCTCATGCAAGCTGGTCCTCTAGGTAACGTACAGTTAGAGGCTTAGAGCTACTTCTCCGAAAGGATAAATCAACTTTCACTTTTGAGAAAGGATGGACTTCTCCTCAAAGAATCTATTTCAATGGTGATAACGGTGTCATGCCACCTGATGCCACCTGATGCCTATCTCTTCACTGGTACAATTTGCAAATGGCATTACTTTACGAGTTTCCAGTGGATCAGTCCCACCCGAGAACCGATGGCAAACCAAATGAAGAGTTTAAGTTGGCGAACATGTTTATTAGAAAATTCATGTGGATTCAGGTGTGTATCATGAAAAAAAATTCAGTTTATGTATTCTGTGAGTTAGTTCACCGCCATTTTGTTACTTGCAACTTTTGTACTAGTTATAGAAGCTCTATGTCCATAGTGCTGTTATTTAGAAATTAGAACTGTAACGATAATAAGAACCATTTACAGAAAAAATGGAGGTGATTCATGTTTATGGGTTGGTTTATTTTTGTTCTCGTTGGAATTTTTGTAAGATATCAAATTCCTATATAGTGACTCTGTGACTAAATTCACAATGTCATTCTGGAAAGTGTATTTGTTTATGGATGTGAAAACTTTCTTCATGTTTTTTTCTTCTGACATCCTTATTTTTCCTTTTAGCAGACGAAGAGAATACTTAGTTTACAACATTTTAGTGCCTATACCTGAGGAAAATTCAATGCAGAAATTTTGATATCTTTAGTTCTTATTCACAAACACATCATGTAATGCAAAATTTCCTAACTCAAGCTCTATTTATTCTTTTGAAGAATTTCATATTTTGTTTACCTGTGTCCAAAGGTCCTCGGCTTCAAACTTTCCTCTACTATCGAACTCGGGGAAAATATAGGAGCTCAAATCAACAAGAAAATACCAAATAAATTAATGTTGTTAGTTCAACTAGGTTGTCATTGGCATAATTTGGAAGAACATACATATATGTAACTAAGATATACCTAGTTCTGGTATTGAGAATAGTAGCTTAGTTGATGTGTTTGTTCTTGGTTTCACAAGTCAACAAGTACAGCGAGATGCATGATGGTATCATTTACAGAAAGATGAGAAGACATAAGAACTTGAGTGTTTAATACCGGAAGAGAAACTGTTTTAATGTGAATGTCACATTTCCATGTCACCGCAAACAATATAAGAACGGGTATGAAACAAGTAAATATGTCAGCCATCGTAATTTAGATTGTACCAACAACATTACGGCTTGGGGAAAATTTAAATGGAAAGGAGAATGTAGACATTGCAAGAAATAAAATCTAAAGGCAAGGCAACTTGAGTTTGCAGCAATTCAAGAAAAACAATTTTTGGGACATGGTGGATAGTGGCGCTATTGAAGGTAAAGTCAATGAGAATAAAAAAACTTATCAAAAAGAAAAAGTCAATAATGATAGAAGAAAGGTTGATTGCACAAAACGAATTTAATACATGAGTTGATAAGCAAATTGTTTTATAATTTAGGAAAATTTTATGTAATTAACCCTAAAAAAGATACAAAAATACATATGTGAGTTAACTATAGTTTGGACATAGCTTCAAAACAAATATTAATTCAGCTAAACAAGATAATCAATTTTTTTAAGCAATGCTCATTACAAGAAATTGAAAACAGGGGCAGACTTGAGCTCACTGTAGTTTCAGCTTAGAAACTGACCTGAGATCTCCGTTTCGGGACCTCGTTTCACTGATGAATGAGGGAAGATATTCTATGGAGTTGGGAGGAAAGGTCAATTTGAAGACCGAGCTCGTTTACCTCACTTTCCAAGTTGCCACAACATCCAAAGGCTCAGTAGACAATAGTAAGATTCTGCCTGTACATAGCAGTGGCAGCAATGCTTATCTAGAAAATTAGCACCGATTGTCCACATCTTAAGTTAAGAAGCTTGTTACTAACAGCAACATCAGCAATGGTTGAGCAAAGCTTGAAACTGCAAAAAGTTTCTTCACATGATTATCAAAGAGAAAACACACTTGTTTGGCATTAGAAGAAGATGAAAAGACATAACATTCTGGTAAATTAATTACCAAAACAAGATAATAGTTCAATTGACAAGCTGCCCTAGCCTTGCCATGATCCTTGAGAAAGAGTTGTGGTGCAATGCTTCGGTTGCAGTCCTAGAAAGTCATAACTTTATCCAATTCACATTTAAAAATTCAACACAAAAACAAGGTAATGTCGTGATGACTACTAAAAACACAACATTTAGAGTGAACCTTCTTACCAAATAAGACAACACAAGATCAACAAGAAAGCCAGTCAAAAAGGCTACAGAAATCATCTACTGAATGCTGCTCCTCATACCAAGTCAGATGGACTGCAATATAACAACAGTAACAAGAAAAAAGACGGAGAATATTTTAAAGACTGGGAAAACCAATCAGGCTTGTAAATTCTTAAACTACGATGGATTTAACTTTTGATTGAGTGACCTTGACAAAAGGTCTGATGAATATTCTTTTTATTTAAAAGAAAAATAGAAACCTTCATTCTTTAACACTATTCCCAAAGTCTCCCTACATTTTGGAAGACATGAAATAAGATGTATGATTAGTGATTACTACACTAGCGCTAGATATCTAATTTCGCCATCTTTGGTGACTCACCTTCAGATTCCCTTGAGCAGTAATACTAATAGTTTAATGCCACATCAAAGGTATATAGGATTGTTTAAAGAAGAAGGTGACAAAGCAACAATTTAAACTCGTCGACTCTCTCAGTATTATTATAATTATGTACATAGCACTAAAATAATTTTATACATTGTAGTGACATCACAACCAGGCCAAAGACCACCAAGAGGAAATGTGCAACAAGGACAAATGGATGAGTTTAAGCAGTCATGTTGTGAGGTTTATGATTCTGTCACCAATTATCATAAAGAAAAATCCAAAAACATCATGCAGAGTGCTGTGATGTGAACAGATGCACAACAAAATTGCAGCTAATAGCATATATTGACCATCAGAATGCAAAAAGATACTTTATTAGCTAATAAATACTTAAATATATTGGAACTCTTTCAGGATTCAACAGTACTATGCAATCATAATACTAGAAAACATAGGGGGAAAGCAATAAATATTCTGATTCTCACTTAATGCATCAAATTTCATCTATAGATTGCAAAATTCATGTTAATCGAACATGTGCGACTGCAACATGAAGCCCTATGCCACAAGTAATATCTCACTGTACTAATATACATTCAATCTTAAAATAAGTATAAAATTTTCAGAGTATTTCAACTGTATAAACAAGACCACAAAGACAAAATCAGAGGTCACAGGCAAAAAGGAATAGCTTTAAAAGCAGATAAGCGTACCCACCAATGGTGCCCATAGCGCATTGAAGTTCTTCTAAAGTAAAATCCAAGTAACATAAGCATCTGCTGATGGACCTTGTGAACTCCTTAAGGACATGCTAACTTCATTTCCTTCACCAATCCATCCAATGTATGATAAATGCTCTCAACTTGAGGATGTGATAGGGACGCTGCAAGGAATTCATGCACAATACCATTGATGTTGATCCAACTGCGCCCTGGTTGCTTCCTCACCCCTTTATTCCGCATAAACCACCTCATCCCTGAGACATCACCCCATCGATGCTCAACTGCAAATGCATTGGAGAGCATCACATAACCTGCAGAATTTTCAGGATCCACTTTAACAAGCTTTTCAGAAATATCCTGGGCCAATTCTAGTTTATTGTGGAGCAGGCAACCCATAAGCAAAGCCCCCCACACAAAATCATTTGGCTCAAAAGGCATGGAGGAAGCAACTTCAAGTGCTTCTTCAACGGAGCCCACTCGCGCAAGCAGATCAATATAGCAAGCATAATGTTCTAATTCAGGTCGCACAGAAAAGCGTTGGCTCATGTCTAGGAATAACTGACATCCTTTATCTAGCAACCCTGAGTGGCTGCATGCACATAGAACACCAAGAAAGGTTCCTGCATTGGGATGCAAACCAAACTCTGGAACATTGGAGAAAAGCCTCACTGCCTCCTCTCCTTCACCATTTATTGCAAGACCCGTGATCATGGCATTAATAGAGACAACATCTTTGGTGACCATCTGGTCAAAAACCTCCTTCGCCTTCTCCAAACTCCCACATTTTGAATACATGTAAATTAATGCAGTGCCTAAATTTGTGTTTAACGCCAGAACACCTTTGCGCCCCTTAGATTTCAAGTATTCATGAACCCAAATTCCACAATCTAAATCACCAATTTGAGCACATGCCGAAAGCACGCTAACCATCGTAACATGGTTGGGTCTGCAATCATGATTCTCCATCATCAAGCGAAAGACACTCAAAGCTTCCACATGACAAGCATTTTGAACATACATGTTTATCACAACATTCCAAGGAAGCACACTTCTCCTTCCACAGTCACCAATCTCATCAAACCTTTCCATACTCTTGTCAATCTTTCCCAATTTACCATACATGTAAACTAGAATGGTGTTAACTGCATCAAGACCTAAATTTTTGCAATCAACATCACCAACAAATTCCGATAAGATTCTTACCCATTTCTCAATTTCTACAATCTCAAGATTGGAACATGCAGATAAGGCACTGACCATGGTATCGTCTTCCGGCCTCAAACCCTCCTTAACCATCAATACAAAAACCTGTAAAACTTCCTCTGCTTGACCTGATTGAGCACACCCAGCCATCAAAGAAGTCCAACAACAAACCATACCTTTATCAGGCAATTCATCAAACAGGTTGCGTGCAGACACCAAATCCTTAAGACCTTTCGCGTAAACAGCAAGTAGACCATTGCAAACAAAAGCATCATCCACAAAACCTGTTTTCAAAACATGGGTATGAATCTGTTTAACACAACGAGCATCACTGGCTCGAATACAGGCCTTAAGAAGGAAAGAAAACGTCAACCCATTAGGCCAAAGCGACCCCAATTTCAACCTTTTGAAGATAAAGAAGGCTTGAGAGAAGAGACCCTCCTCGGCTAAGACTCTGATAATGGCGTTGAAGGGGAATACATTGGGTTTCAGTAGTTGATGAAATACTCGAAGAGCGAATTGAGATGGGTAGTGGCCGATGAGACGAGTGGCAATTAGATTGTCTTGGTGTGCGCAGAATCGGAAGATGTGAGCATGGATTTGGAGGACATGAGAGTGTGGAAGACGACCCTTCAAGAGGTTGGATAGATTGGTGAAGTTATGAGAGGCTGAATTTGAAGAGAGAGTGTGTAAATGTTTGCGGTGAAGACGAGCAAAGCGAGAAGAGAAGTGAGTTTTGGGTAGAGAGTATTGGAGAAAAGCAAGCATGGTTGAAGGAAGCTTATTGAATTTGTTCCATATTCATTCATTTTGAAATGCTTTGTGAGTGAGACAGAACTCGTAACCAATAAACAGATTTTGAAACATGAAATTGTTAATGTCAAAAAAAATGTTCAAAGGAAACTATCAATATGTTTTGAACTCGGCCTTTAGTTTGCAAAACAAGAATTACAGACCTTGATTAGTTGATTTAGAAAAAAAATTAAAACAAAACCCATACATACAAGTTAGCAGTTGCAGAGAGAGGGGGGGGCAAGCTTGAGAGTTGAGAGACAGCGGGCCAGCGGCTGAAGCTTGAGGCGAACCCGAACTGGAAATGCCGGCGATGGAAACTGAAAGATATGGGTTTTGATTTTTTGAACAATCTGAAATGATATGCCAATATGGGTTTTGATATAGGTAATAGGTTTTCAACTTTTGACCCTTGCAGATAGATAGATAAACTGAAATATATGGGTTTTGAACTTCTGATTCTTGTAGATTTTGTAGTTTGCAGTTGCAGAGAGAGGGTGGGGGGGGGGGGGGGGGGGGGGGGAGAATAGAGATGCCGATTGGGGAGGCTGAAATAATGTGCCCTAAATTTTTTTTTTTCTGGTGGCCCATCATCCATGGGCCTATAAATTTTGAGGCCCATAAATAATTGTTTCTGCGTTCTATTTGTGAGAAGTTTATATAATTTAGGGTAAAATGCAAGAAACCCCTTGGACTATGGAGAAATCTACAACTAATCCCTTGAATTTTAAAAAATGTAAGAAACCTCCTGAACTATGCAAAATTGTTGCAGATCACTCCATCCGTTCAACGTCCGGTGATCTATATGGCCCTTAAAATTGGTTTCTTAAATTTAAATGACCATACTACCCATAGAAGCATGAAAGGACAATAATACCCTTAATTTTAGAACACTGACCAAACAAGCCTTTATTAAAATTTCCCCAAATCCATAACTCTGATTCTCTGAATCGTCCCTGTAACACGCGAAGGTCTTAAAGCGTTCTCAATTTCCTAGTTTGGGGGATCGTATGGTTTTACGGCAAGGATGAGTTCATTAAAATCTAGTAAGACAAGATCATTGATTCACCGCATGTCAAACTGTAACACAGAGGACGGAATGGTCCGGTGACTATAGAGAGGACGGAATGGCGAGAAGCAAGAACTGCCAGTGAACACGGACGTCATGATGCGGAAATATTTCAAGCATCCCATAAATTTTCAAATTGATCAAAAAGGAGATAAAATATTCCATAAACATGTAATTGGTAAAAGCGAAAAAGGAACCCAGTACCATAAATTGGATTATTGGATCTCGTTTTTTGCCAATAAGAACAAATCCTTGTCCACCGTTAAGAGCAATGGTCCGGCAACCCGTTTTATGCTTTTTAACAATCTTCAGCAACCTGTTTAACCAGCTGCCATCGCCATCATCACTAGTTGTTCTTGCTCAGCTGTAGCCAATCGCCGCCGATCCGTCCGTGCGACCCTCTGCCTTGCCGTCGCCACACCAGTAAGCCCCGTCGCTAGCGACCTATTCCTCTCTCTCCTGGTCTCTTCTCAGTTCACGACCCGCCGATCTCTTAAACTATCACCAGAAAAATATGCATAAATTCCAGCCTCGAAGGTCCAGGCTACATCCAATTTCTTCACCGCCACTAAGGACAACGCCGACTGATAAGCGCTGAATACTATATATTCAAGCGCCTTAAATTACATTAACAAAGTCCATTAGATTATTTTATGTAGATTAACTCCATTTGCATGTTTTTATGCATTTTCAGGTTAAAGTGCAAAAATGATGCCTTATGGAATTTTGAACAAAAAGGATGCCATTTCTAAATTTCTGGCAGCAGTGATCCTGACTTTTGTCACCATTTTCGACCTAGAAAACTCAAGAATCAGACTTCCCTCATAACATGAAAGATTTAGAGCTCTAAATCAGCTTTCCAAATCTTCAAACGGTTTGTCATTCAGAGCTCGGAGCAGAGAGTTATGGCCTTGTTTCCAGAGGTGCGCAGAACTGCCTGGCAGCAATGCAATTCTGCCTTGATCTTCATTTTCGACCAAACAAACTTAAGAATTGGGTCTTCATCAAAACATAAAGTTTTTAAAGCACTGAATCAGCTCTCCAAATCTTCAAACAGATCATCATTCGGAGTTCGGGGCACAAAGTTATAGCAGTTTTACCAAAATAGGTCAGCGCTGAGCAAGAGGAGCATGTTGCACATTGCACTAAGTTAGAGTGCTCGAGATCACTTTTCGAGTGCTCGAAAATCAGGCAGATTGCACTCGGAAATGGCTCAATTTCAGCCACTTGCACATTGGTTTCCTCAATGCCATCTTCCTTCTTTATGAAGTGGTTGGAGGTGTTCCTTGGAAGGGAGAGAGATGGTTTTGTTGGAGAATAAAAAGCTTCCAAAGGCATTTGCTATCCTTGAATATTTTAGCAAGATAGAGGAGAGAGAAGAGAGCAAGGAGGAGGGTGTTCTTGAGTGCTACAGTAGGAGCACGAAAATGGAGTCTTGGATGGAGCTTCTTCCTTCTTCTAGCTTAGCAATGGGTAACTAACTCTTTCTCTAGGGAGGTGATGAAGTCCCTCCCTTGTAAGCATGTCCTAGGATAGTCTATTTTGGGGATTTGCCATGTATATTTTATGGTATTTTCATAACCAAGAGCACCTCAGTTGTGGTAATGAATGTTGATACATGTATGGATGATTTCTTTAAGTTGATTATCTTGTCTTAGATGATGTCTTAGAGTAATCATATTGCTTGAGTTTTTCATGGTGAGAGTGGAAGCAAGGTTATGAAATGGTTTCATGGCATGTTGATAGGTGACCTTGATAGACCATTGCTTAGGAAATCCTTTGATGGTGTATGCTTAATCTCTAACTCCATGTGCTTTATCATTTTGTCAAGAACTTGATAGTCTCTCATTTAAGTAAATGCGTATAAGCTACACCTTAGTTAGGTAGTCTAAGCATGTTTATCTTTTGATGGATTATACTTGTTTGAGACCTAATGTACCTCTTGATTACTTATATGGCAACCATGTGTTGCTATGTAAGTCTTGACCATCATATGTTGTTTTTCCCCAAATTTAGGTCTAATCTAGCATATGTATAGGGATGGAGGCGGATTCACTTCCCTAGTCTCCTCTTCTTAATCTTTTCATCCTAAATTCCTTGCAAATTAGTGTTTTATGCACTTTGAATTCCTAATTTAAGTGACAACAAACACAACCTCTATGAACACCCCTTCATCATCCTAAGAATGACTCTAAACACTTAGGTTGCCTTAGACTAGCGCAGTCCCAGTGGTTCGACTTACCCGACCAATAGCCCTATTTTACAATGATTCGTGCTATTGCGAAGGTTGATGTTAGTTGATCAACCGATCAATTTTTGGCGCCGTTGCCGGGGACTTGCAAACGGTTTAGCAACCAAAGTTTAGGGTTAAATTTAGTTTGATTGTGCACATTGTGTCTTGTGAATAGTCCTTGTATGTTTTGATCATCTTCGTGTTGTAAGATTCTAGGAACTCGAAGCTCGCCGTGGGATTGCTAGCAAATTGTAAGTCTAGAGGACCCCAGGTAAGTCTCATGACTTCTAGTTTCGAATTGTGAATATCGTACATGTGTTAATTTTAGAAGTAGTTAATTTAGTTGTGAAGCCCTTGTAGAGGCTATTATCTTGTTTAATTTCGTGTACAAGCATCGGTCCTTGTCGTGGCCATTTATTTTCTGTCTTGATAATTGAGGAGAAAGGGAACATCGTATGTGGAGTATTGATGATGAATTGTGTTGTTGAATATATGCTTTGTTGTTGATGTTTGGCCGTAGGTCACTCTCTCTACCCACACTTGACTCGCCTATTGATATAAATTCACTTGAAAGAACTCTTAGATGGAACCTTAGGGAACCCACTCTTACAAGGGATCTTGAAACTGAATTCAATACAATGGGGGATAACGTAGGAAATCCGGGGAATCAAAGGGCTGGAATTCCTAATGTAGAACCAATGACTCTTAGAGATCATTTCATTCCTACCACCTACGCTTCTCCTTCTTGTATAGTGATGCCAAACATCGATGCAGCTCAATATGAGATCAAGTCTAGTACCATTCAAATGCTTCCATCATTTCATGGCTTTGATAATGAAGATCCATATAAGCATCTTGATGAGTTCCTTGAAATCTGCTCAACCATCCGGTTGAGAGGTTTTCCGGACAATGCACTTCATCTCCATCTTTTCCCATTCTCCCTAAAGGATAAGGCAAAATATTGGTTGAACTCCCTCACTCCCAACTCTATTACTTCTTGGGCTCAATTGCAACAAGAATTTCTTAAGAAGTATTATCCGGTGAGTAAAACCAACCAAATGAGGCGTTCCATTCTAAGCTTTTCTCAAGTTGATGGAGAACAACTCCACGAGACTTGGGAAAGGCTACAAGATCTTCTTCGAAAATGTCCTCATCATTTGATCCCAAAATGGCAATTAGTGCAAGCTTTCTATGCTGGCTTGACCGAAACCCATAGATTCATGGTTGATTCTTCTTGTGGTGGGATGTTCATGTCCAAGAATGCGGATGAGGCTTGGACCTTACTTGAGAATTTGAGTGAAAATTCACTTCAACATAATTCTCGTAAGGCTCCAACCGCAACCACTCCAAACAACACCAACCCTTGTCAACCAAAGTCAATAAGGGAGGAATCATCTCAAGTGGATGCCATCGCTCATAAATTCTACCAATTAATGGCACCACATCTTCCTCCTTCATTGTCTCAAAATTCGGCAAGTTCAGTTTGTGCTTCATGTACTAGTCCATTCCATCTCTCGGAAGATTGCCCCACACTGGAGCAATTTCCCAATCCCAACCAAGAGCAAGCTAATGCCATGTTCTCGCGGCCCGGGAATAATCCATATTCCAACACCTACAATCCGGGTTGGCGAGATCATCCGAATTTCTCGTGGCGGCAACAAGCCCCACAAAATTCCCAATTCCAAAACCAAGGGCGGCAAAATCAGCCCTCTTCTCAATATCAAGGTAGACCTTTCCAAGCCTCTTCAAGCTACCGTCCTCCTTACAATCCAAATATCTCCAATCAACCTCCTGTGTGTCCAACTGATGAGATAGTAGCTGCAAACAAGCAAATGATGGAATCATTAAATAAGCAAATAATGGATGCTAACAAGCAACTCTTGACATCCTTGCAGCCTACTCTCCAAATGGTTCATTCTCATACTCAATCCATAGCTAATCTCGAAAATCAAGTGGGCCAAATAGCTAACTCGGTGAATCAATTGCTTCAAAAAGACAAGGGCAAGCTTCCCTCTCAACCTTTTGAAAATCCTAGAGGAATGCA